TCGAAGGAGCACTCGACTTTACCTTCTCCAAGACGTAGTTGTTTGTTCTTTTGGCAGCCCATGGGATATTCAATGTTTTCCTCTAACTTCACACTTCAAAAGCATCAGTTTTTCTTCTGTCATTTTTACACATTGTCCAGCTCTCAATTGCATAACAAGTTATTCAAAAACCCATGGTCAGGTTCAGACCACTAACATGGGTGATGATCTACTAAACTTATGAGGGTAACTTTCCGTAGTTCAGAGTTGGCAAAAATACAGATTTTTGCCATTGATATAATTCCGTCATTTTTAATAATATTTTTAAATTTTTAATAATAATGATTTTAAAGGCTACACTTCAACATTTCTGCTTAAAATAATATAGAAGCAAATTAAATATAAATATACATAAATATGTATAAATATATTTAAGTATATGTATTTAATGAAAAGGAAGAAGGGAAGATTCAAATCAAAATGATAAAGAAGTGATGTTTGAAATTATCAAACCATTTTGGGATGCATTCAATGACAGAGATTTCATATCAAAAATTTGGTAGATTACAACAGCTGTTTTGAGTTCAGAAATCTAGTATCCCTGAAAAGCATAGGGAGAATACTTCAAGACCAGATCTTCAAGACAGTTCATTCTGGTTTGATACTTTCTACTGAGAATTTACATTTTTACTCTAATTATACTGAATCAGAATCTGAGGCTTAACAAGATCTCCAGGTGTTTCTTAGCTTGGCTCCACTTATCAGTTGAAGTTGTACTGCCAAACCCTGATATCAGCACCAGCTTTTTAAAAAGTTTGTCACACTTCTATCATATATATATATGTGAAAAAATATATGATATGATATATAATTTCCATGTTTCCCTTCTAATTGCTGCCCAGTAAGAGAGAAACCCCAAACTTCCAAATTTCTACTTGATAAAGGCTTTGCAGCACAGCTGCTTTTCAAAGCTGTAGCTTTGCAGTGTAAAAATTGATCCAAGTGGTTCCATCTGTCCTGTTTTCCTTCAGTTAGGGGATGTAAGTGGGCTCCAGTTAGGATCTCTTCTTTTGCTGTTTTCCCAGCAAAAGGAATTTTGTATTTATTATCTTATTTCAGCCCCTCTGCATGTGACCAGTAGAAAAAAAAAATAATTTTCTGGCCAGTGCAAAGTAAATATCCTTATTGTCTTAGTTTTATGCATAAGCCGGATACTTAGAGTGCTTTGGTAATTTCAGTGTACATCTGGAGAGAACAGTAAAGGGATAAGCATGAATATCCTGCACATAAATATGTAGCACTTTCATTTTTATCAAAACACATAGTCATTTAAAATTTTAAGACAGGAGATTCTTGATTACTTTAGTCAAGAGTGTAGCATCCTTCTGATAAACAGGATAAGTTTCCCCACAAGGCTTAGTTTCATCTGTCTTGTCTTCAGTTTACACTGATGTTATGTATACATTTAATGAAGGTTAAATTACTGAAGTAGTAGATGAATAAATCAATTAGCTTGTAAGTATAGAATTATGAGTTAGAAAATGATAAATAGGATGAAAAACCCTAGGAGATGGAAGCCATTAAATATGATGACACCAGACGAGTCATTTGAGTAATGAAAGAAATGAAAGTGTAAGAAAAAAGCAACACAAACATATTTTAAACACCCTTGTGGCAAAAATTAATTTGTTTTCATGTAAATGACTTCAACTTATTTCAAATTAGTTTACATTACACACCACTGATTTATATTAAATGAAAACTTTCAGAGTAGGAGGAGGGAAAAACCTCTGAATAGACAGTATTCATTACGAACTATTTGTAATTGGAATTTATTTTCTTGAAAGTTTATGCTGCAAAGAATTCATTCTGCTATCCGTTAATAACTATGTTTCAAGAAAAAGTGGATATTGTATTGCGGATACACACCTGAGTCAGCATCCCTCAATTCTGACAATATTTTTTTCTTCTTTATCCCATCTCTGTTTATCTTTTCCTCTTAGAGTATCAGATTCATACTCTTTCCATCTAACTTAAAAAAGGGAGCAAAGGTTTTCTTATCTGAGCTGAGCAGCAAAATAAAACAAAATCTGCAATTATTGCAAAAAAGTCCAAGAAAAATATTAAGAAAGAAGTTTGTCCCAGTTTTACTTATAAGTACAC